CCCCCCCCCTAAATCCGCGCCTGCTGTTTCTTTCCGTTAAGCTGCGATAACGTAGCTTTCTGACGAGAGATTTGTTTTATATACTGCGTCGTCAGAGGCAAAGGAGGCCGGGTATTAATGCTAGTAATAGTGCAATAATACGGTATGGCTGATAACTTTCATTATTTGCATAATAGTGAGATTCCATCGGTTATGATTTTAGTGTAATACCCAGATCTTAGTATGTCAATCCAAAACAAATAGATTTGTTTTTAATCTGTAATACCGTACTGCTAATAAAAGTAAGCGGGTGTTTTAAAATGTATGTCTATGTAAAGTAGATGTTGTATACGATACGGCCGTTAATTATGAACGAGATGCACTTGTAATATATATGGTATGTACGTGTTTGTCACCAGGACGAGTTGTTCGGGGTGGCAGAGAGGCTGGCTCTTACTCCCGCTCAGGCATGTGGGATCCTTATTGGGACCAATTGTGGAACGCCCAATGACCCAAACGTCATGTGGAACGTGACTTTACCCAACATTCCCAAACCACCGGTAACCCCACCAACAACACCGAAGGTAAGTGGTACCTTCCTTTCTGTCCACCACAAACTTTACCGGAAAACATGCCGTCGGCCGGTCGAATCTACCATTGATTAGTTGTGATACACCAACTCACCCTCCCACTCTCGTCAATAAACATCTCCAGCATATATTCTCTCTTACTTATGCTTCCTGTTCGGCTACATATACACCCTAGGTTATCCCCTTTGCAGATGACACTGTGTCTTGTTTATGACATTTCAACTGTGATTAAACCGTTGACGTCCCTCACAAACTATCGACGTTTCCTTTAAATCCGTTGACGTCCCTCACAAACCATCGACGTTTCCTTTCAATCGGTTGACGTCCCTCACAAACTATCGACGTTTTCTTTCAATCCATTTACGTCCCTCACAAACCATCGACGTTTCCTTTCAATTCATTGACGTCCCTCACAAACCATCGACGTTTCCTTTAAATCCGTTGACGTCCCTCACAAACTATCGACATTTTCTTTCAATCCATTTACGTCCCTCACAAACTATCGACGTTTCCCTTCAATCTATTGACGTCCCTCACAAACCATCGACGTTTCCTTTCAATCGGTTGACGTCCCTCACAAACCATCGACGTTTCCTTTCAATCCATTGACGTCCCTCACAAACCATCGACGTTTCCTTTCAATCCATTCACGCCCCTCACAAACCATCGACGTTTCCTTTCAATCCATTGACGGTTTCTCTCGCGAATTTACCCTTAGATCATAATGCTTCCGGTGCAGTTTTACTAGTATCGGACACAATTGCCCTTAAAGTGTAACATTACGTTCAACGACAAAGGCGTCATAATGACGTTAACGCTCAGAACACCTCGGAACAATTGCTAAGTACAGTAACAAACGCATTAGTACACGGCATGCATTCATGTACTGATGATTGAAGTGGCAAAGTGTAAAGCGATACAGAGTCTGACATTGCCACACCATCACATGAATCGTAACCTCATTAATAGAACAGCTTTGTTGTGTCCTGATATTGTGATAAGTCACTCATGGAATCGTTGGCTAAGGTAATGCATCATCATAGAAAAAAAATCTTCGTTTTCGTGTGCCCAAAAGAATTATGTCTCCGACATCAATCAGACTATTTCTTTTTTTGATAATATTTGCCAATTCAGCAGAATTATTCCGGAAATATTGTCACACAGGCCTATATCGACATGCAGCCTCCTTGTGCTGCGTTAGTAGTCGTGGCGGCCTTCTGTGACGTGTACAATGACGACCAGACAGTTCCTTCGACATTCCTGCTACTGAAGGCATTTCTGTCGGGGATGTTTAATCTTATTTGTAAGACATGGTTATTTGGTAAAAGGCCAACCGATCATATGCTTATCATATCCCCTCCATGACTGTCGAAGAGATAGAATATTGGTGTTTTTTTTTTATAATGGAATGTAATGAAACGGTATTTGGTTTGTTTTCTTATAGTTAACTACAAACGTAAGGTGATTTACAACCCGAATGAGTTTTGATTATATTAAATATCTTTTGAAATATTTTAGTTGAAATGATGTATATACATATGCAATACACGGAGTGAAGGACTAAAATACTTTAAAGGTATTATAGACAATGACAAATGTTCGTGATGTTGATTGTAGATTAAAATAATTGAAATGCTGTTGCTACTTTCTGCCTATACTATTACGCATATTTCTTCAGCCTGGATCTCTAAAACTACGCATGCTCCATCTAACGGATATCCATCTGGACCCGGCCTACAACACGGGGGCTAACACGGACTGCGGTGAGCCACTGTGCTGCCGGAAACAAGACGGAACAGGCCGTAAGTACTATATATTGTAAAGTAAAATAAAATTCTGTTTTACCACATAATCAACGCATATAAGGACAAACTCTCAAATCGTATTTGAAACGTCGAAAGACAAGAACAGGGATTGAAGATATATCAAAACCAAAGGCATGATGACCCACATGTGACACCCTCCAAAGACAACAGTAGTTTATTTACTGTTTCCCAAAAGCCATACCAATAGCGTGTGTTATCTTTGTCATCATACCAAAGTTACGACCTTGCTTCCTTGAGTACAGGGACTTCAAACGTTCCTATGACCCAGAATGAAAAAAAACATGGTCCGACCCCCAGATCACTCATTATTGACAATAATAAGTGATCTGTGGGTGGGACCATGGGTATTTTATTTTCATTCTGGGTCATAGGAACGTGTCAAGTCTCTGTAGTGTATTCAGAAAAGTATGTAGGTCACCGACAGTCTAAGACCCACTGACCCAGTGAACAAATCCATAATCGGGCTTGTCTTTATTGTTGCAAATCGGTTCATGATGGCAATGTCATTATATTCTTGTAGGATGAAGACTCTTGTAGAAAACCCTGGATAAGTAGCTTAGACGCATTTTTTAAAATGATTGTAGGTATCTAAGTTAATTGTCAAGGAAGCAATGTCGTAACTTTGGTATGATGACAAAGATAACACACGCTATTGGTATGGCTTTTGCGTCCTAACCATTTTGTCTGTTGCAGCGTCCCCCGATACTAGAGCTGGTAAGTGGGGATCACATGCCATGTGTGACACCCCTTTCATCACACTGGACAGCCTGTTCGCACATCTCAGCTCCATACAGGACCAGGTCAGTCCGTACATTGTCAAACCTTAAATTCTGGATCTAGAGGAAATTTCAAGATAACGATTTCCAAACGCTTCTTCATATTGAAAAACATATTTCATAAAACTGTTTGATCGTAACTGGAAACCCCATGATCAATGTATCAAGCTGTAACATACACATTACATTATATATATTTAGCGTTGACTATCCCGTAATTCTAAATTAATTGTAAGGAGGTGGCACTTACGACAGTTTCTGTCTGTATTTGTTGTCTTTTCAGTTTGACTATGTAATATTCACGGGAGACTTACCCCCACACAACATCTGGAACCAGTCACGGACAGACCAACTTACCTCACTACAGACCTACACCAAGCTCTTTAAGAAGTACCTTCCAGAAAAAGTCGTCTTTAACGCTCTCGGAAACCACGAGAGCGCCCCAGTAAATAGGTACGCCGTATAAAGTTGACACATTTTAGCTTGGCGACAAATACTGTATAACGGGAAATTTTCGCGGCAGTTTAACTGTCGCCTTTTTCGTCCTATCCAATGAGGGCGAATCTATCATGACAGCGATTATTAGTACACAACACATAAGATACAGCAGTAGCATGTAAAGGGAAATATTAACACTTGGCGAACATAACTGTAACCGACAAATGGCGAATATTTTACTGGGCGATAGTTTCCCGGTATACAGTAACAGGGATCTGCATATTCTTCCATGACAGATTGTTTTTTCAAAAAACATGAATATGTTTTTATCGTTTGCTTTTTTTCTGTTCAAACGATTTCTTCCTGGATCTCTTCGATATTTGTAATTCATATAGCTGGTATATATATTGAAGCAAAATGAAATTCTCATTTGTTTTTAATTTTTATATGAGAAGTTGAAAACTCAATGGGAGTCGTTTGAGACCAACCATTATTCCTTTATCGGTTCATTTGAATAGACACGTTGCAAGCGGTGAATCGCTTATTGGGGTGCTTCTAAATGAAATCTACTTCACTCCTGGTTGCATTTGGAGGCATAGAAATAGGAAAAAGAAATTCTTCCAAGTTTCTTTTAACTGAGATGAGGTCAGAAAAGACATTAACTGACATTTCTGTCCAATTACTAATAACAGTTTTAATGGCTGATTTTTGTGACATGGGTACCGTTCAGGCAACTGACAAATACTTGCATATTTGGGATGTTTCTAGTCGTATCAAGTTTAAAAAGGTGAACATATGTTAATTTTTGTATGACTAGAAGCATACTTATTTAAACTGCGTGACGACGTCTGAACAGGACCACTGTGCTTTATAGGGGGATTTGTTACTGGAGGCAACACTCCAGTGTAGGCTTCTGGTATTCTGAAATGTCCGCTCCGCTTTGTGATTTGATTTCAGGACCAGACGAAACGTTAATTTACTTAGTAAACACGGTTAACAATTATTCTATAAACGCACGATAATAAATGTCATTAGGAGCCATACAAACGAGACATGTTGACCAACAACACCATGCTCAGTTACATGTAATGTCAACATGGGACTATGTCAACATGGGACTTTTAGGATGAATGGCAGATAAAACAAACTAGCTTTTTCTGACTGTGAACAAAATGAATTGTTCCCAAAACCACACACAGAAGTCACATTAAAACAACTATATTTACTGTTTTGGTTGGTTCATACACAGAAGTCTATCTATACCTCACTGTTTGCATCACCGATTCCCTGAGAACGCAGGTCCTTTTATTGAATGTATTGGCAGTATTGTGAATCAATAATGTATTCACGAAAAAACGTGTGGTAGAAGGCAAACAAAATTAGGGAAATTAATTTATGCAAAAACTGACATAAACATTGAATATGTATTGAGTTTGCTGATGAAGAGGTGTGATGTACGGTCCGATTGTACATGGAAGTTTTAATTCTCACGAAATGTCCTTCCCTTCTTCAGGCATTTGAAGCACTCTAATCCATATTCAATCCTGAACAACATACTACAGCTATATCATTACAGTATCGCTCGCGCGATGATGGTGCTTGCTCTAAGATGGCATGAAAATGTCTATATGAATGGCCGTGTATTGGTATCTGTAGAGACAGTCTTGTTACAGCCTGGCGCACATTTGATGTACGATTTGTGAATGTCCCGGTGATGAGATTAAATTGTACCTCGTGAGCGCCACATTCTGTTTGTGTCTACAGACAGTGGGTTTCAGACAAGAATTGTACACTTTGTTCACTTTCAACTGTTCTGGGAATCTACTTTCCAGGTCTCTGTTTTGATGACAGCTGATGTTTGTATTCAATCAAGATCAATATTTAATTCATAGTTCGTGTGTATCGCTGATAGCTTCTGCTATGTCCAGTTCTCATCTCATTAGATAGACAAGTGAACGCAAAGATAGACAAGTGAAAAATGTCAAAAGTACGAGTTGAACTTAGCTGGAGTTATATGGCCAGGCGATTTTATTATGATGAGGATTTCAATTTTCCCAAGGAAATGCTACACTCCGATTACCTATCTGATAATTTACTATGAAAACATGTTTTTGCACGCTGAAAAATATTTAATTAATTTCTGCCGATAATATCTCGACAACACATCAACGTGTGGCTTACATATCACTAACTTTATAACGTGTTGTGAAATACGTACATTTCAACGTAACAAGAGGAATTAAGATATTTCATGTCATGATACATAAAGTATGCCACCCAGTTGATTTCAAACGTTTTCCATATATTCATCAGGGCAATGCAGTTCATCTTGAATAATGCATTGATGTGAAACCTGGTTGCATACCATCATATCTGTTGTGTTTTGTTAGATTACGTCATATTAATTCATATGACTGTTATGTTATATATAGTTAAGAGTTAACATTTCATTATCCACGTTCTCAGCAACACGAATGAAACTTTTTCTTATTTCTAAGAGTTTCTTTTGGTTTATGTAGTCTTTTGAACACTGTTTACAACATGAAAGAAACGTTGTTTTTGTGTTAATATTCACATATAAATCATTTGAAATCATTCATTGCTTCCCGAACAAAATACGACTTGACGGAACGACATGATTAACCCCTGAAACCGTCATTCAATATGTGAAATGTATGGTTTGTCGATTCGTGACGAATCCGGTGAAAGATATTTTTTTTAATTTTTTTTATTGATGTCAGTGTTCAAGGAATACGGAGTTTCGTGAAAAGTATCATATGTTATTACTCGTTGGACTGACGCCACATTATAAAGAAAGCGTGCACAATATACCTCTTTAATTAAAAAAAAACCTGTTATTGAGTTATAGGCCTTTCAATCAATTGGTGTATGTTAACGATGGACATCATTCAATGAGGACTAAGCACGTTCACCTTTCGGAGACACCTGCCGTCAACGTCTATTGACTTATCAGACGATACGCTGATAAGACCGCTACAACGATAATGTGTTATGCTTACAATGTAGATGAGAACTGACCGTGACGTTACGATTCCTAAATGTTTGCAGACAAATGCATCTTTCTAATATTAGTTTTGTTTGAAGCAATATTCCAAGTAATCGTCCATATAATTTTTACAGTGATTTCAAGTATATTTCGACTGAATGCGTGCATGTTATTTTTTGGGGGAATTATATGATTATTGCTCGATTTCAGAAACGGATACGGTCGAGAAGACTATTCTCAAAGCATAAACATTGATGTTCGTTTCGAGACCAGGACTCAAAATTTCAAACGTGTTCACCTTCATGTAAAAATAGACCAAACCTTCGTAGAGACCAAAAAAGACCCAAGACACTTTGTCTAACCCCATCTTCCCCGATACTTTCGTAGAGTAAAAAAACAAGACGCTTCGTCTAACCCCATCTTCCCCGGTACCTTCGTAGAGACAAACAACAAGACGCTTTGTCTAACCCCATCTTCCCCGGTACCTTCATCGAGACAAACAACAAGACGCCTTGTCTAACCCCATCTTCCCCGGTACCTTCATCGAGACAAACAACAAGGCGCCTTGTCTAACCCCATCTTCACCGGTACCTTCGTAGGGAGAAACAACAAGACGCCTCGTCTAACCCCATCTTCACCGGTACCTTCGTAGATACAAAAAACAAGACGCCTTGTTTAACCCCATCTTCCCCGGTACATTCGTAGAGACAAACAACAAGACGCTTCGTCTAACCCCAACTTCCCCGGTACCTTCGTAGAGACAAACAACAAGACGCCTTGTTTAACCCTATCTTCCCCGGTACCTTCATAGAGACAAACAACAAGACGCCTTGTCTAACCCCATCTTACCCGGTACCTTCCTAGAGACAAACAACAAGACGCCTTGTCTAACCCCATCTTCCCCGGTACCTTCGTAGAGACAAACAACAAGACGCCTTGTTTAACCCCATCTTCCCCGGTACCTTCATAGAGACAAACAACAAGACGCCTTGTCTAACCCCATCTCCCCCGGTACCTTCGTAGAGACAAACAACAAGACGCTTTGTCTAACCCCAACTTCCCCGGTACCTTCGTAGAGACAAACAACAAGACGCCTTGTCTAACCCCATCTTTCCCGATACCTTCGTAATGACAAACAACAAGACGCTTTGTCTAACCGCATCTTCCCCGGTACCTTCGTAGAGACAAACAACAAGACACTTTGTCTAACCCCATCTTTCCTGGAACTCCGTTTTTCTCCACATTTAGACCCTTTCCATCCGGGCCAAGAGTGACAGGTAAAGCCCAAAGAAAATGAAGTGTATTTTCAAAATGTTACAATTTACATAAGTGTTTGGTATTTTGTTTGTAACGAGGTTTAAATTATGAGTTTTACATTTCAGTTTTATGAGAACATTTTATCAAATTACTCTCAAGCAGTATATTTCATTTGATGTAACTGATCGCTGTGTGTATTTCATAATTACATCGGTAATATGTTTGTTGACTTTTTATGCTATGGTATGCCTGCATGTGAACTTTTCTCCTGTTTACTCGAAAATTATTTGGGAATGTCGACCCTGACAACCGATGCAAGTAACACGGGGAGTGAGATAAAGCCGAACTCCTTGTGTGTCACCTCAGCGACAGATCAGGGACAAATACCGACATTTGATTAATTTGCTGTAATTGGATGGCTTTGTGGATTGTGAAATCGAACAGAGAAATTGCCTCAAATCGATCTGTAGAATTCCTTGTGGGATGAATCACATGTGCTAACCTCGACCAACTGTTCTTTTTATTGGCAAATTAAACATGTAATCAAACACGTTTGACATCTAAGACTACCTCTAAGACAATTATACAAATAGTTTCGTTGTATTAAATTTCCGGACACGAATACAACTGTAACACAGACATGCAACATGATATGCGTGTCTTCCAACAAAATACCATTTCAACATAACCAATACGTTTTATAGCCCATACAAAAGGAGTATTTCATCAGACTAGCTGGACAGTAATGTAG